TCTAAAAAGTTTAGAACAGAATCAGTAAACTTCTTTCTGTGGAGTCCAGTCAAACCCTAGTGGCAGCCATGTTTGTTTTTATTATTAGAGGATGCTTATGCGTATAATCATTCCATATTTGGAATTCGCATTTCCTTATATGGTAGGATGAAAATACTGTAAAATTACGTCACACTGTAACTTATGGCGATACAGTGGCAGATGTATAATAAATATATATATTTGTATGATGTTGGCTTTTCTAAAGTAAGGTATGATAGCAATAGGTTATGATGGGCAAACTATTAGGAACAGATGAGCCTTTAGGAAATTTGATTAAAATACTACATTTTAGCTGAAAATAATTTCGGGGTGTTTTGTGTGTGATTTATTTTCACTGAATTTTGATGAGTTGAATGAAAAATAAAGGGAAAGAGATATTTTCATTGAATTTTATTTTATTTCAGCAAAAATAAATTTCAAGCGAAAATAAAGTATTTTACCGTATTGATCATCAATCGAATATCCAAGTATAGTGAACATTATCAATTTAAATAATCAGTTGATTATCAGTGCAATCATCAGTGCTTTTGCGCTAAATGAGTTTGTGAAAACATAAAAGTAACTTTCTTAGTACTGTTATAGCATGCTAATATTTTGACATATTCATGGAGAGACTTTTTATTTTTAAATTTCTAGTACTATATACTGTAGAATACTTTATTTTCGCTTGGAATTTATTTTCGCTGAAGGGATAATTTTTTCCTATATTTCACATTCAACTCATCAAAAATCAGTAAAAATATATTCCAAACAAAACACCCAACAAGCCTTTTCAGCGAAAATTAATTCAAGCTAAAATAAAGTATTCTACAGTATAGTCTATTTTTGGTCACATATATAGTAAGTGGGTTGTCCTTCACATAAATTAGTTGCATGTCTAATGTATGATATGATGATTACTGGTAGAGATTATTACATGACAATCCTCATAATATATTGTGACTTTGGTATTTTGTCAACCTGCAAAGTAATCCGTCAAATCACCAGTGTGATATAACGTTATGTAATAACACCTTTATTGTTTTGTGATCTATGGTGTGCTGCGAGACAAATACAGATACAACTTGAAGCTCATTAAACACTTGATATTGCTTACGCTCAATTTTAAAATTAGAAATGTAATTTTGATGATGACGACTGCTTGTGATGTTTTGTAAATTATTTCAGTATCGAATATTAAAAGCGTTAAAGGCCCAATTAACTTGTCCTGGGCAAGTGTGAATTGGAGGTGTGGCTATTCTAATGCATGGTGTTAATCACTTGCATAGCCTATGACGCATCCTGTTTCAGCGGTCCAACATCATGTCACTTTGATTGACAGTAGTAATTATTCAAGATTAGTCGCGCATCCCTTTCCCCAGTTCATGTTTTTGACTCCCATGTGCGAAGCACAAAATGGGAGTCTTTGCAGTTAGTGTGTCTGTATGTGTGTATGTGTGTATGTGTGTATGTGTGTGTGTATGTGTGTATGTGTGTCCGACTGTTCCACTGCTATCTCAAGAACCATACATCGGTTTTTGATGAAACTTGGTGCATAGATGCTCTGGGCCAATGCGCAGATTTGATTAGGTTTTGGTAAAAATCCATGCTCGTTAATTACCTAATTTGCATGATAATTAG